AACATCACCCACACTCTATTCACCTTTTTAAGATGATCCTGGATGTTAGCAATAGATGTGGCTTTTATCATCTTAGAGGGAGTGAAGTGCTCTGGAGTTGGACCAGGTTTCCTTGGCATTTTCTTTTCTCTCCTGTAGTCTAACTCGTCCACTTTCACAGGCATTGAAGACTTGCGAGGCTTTGTCCACAGACATGGCTCATCGGTGCCAACAGCAGTCCCCTTGTCCGTTCGCCTATCAACAAAGTCACTTACTGCAAACAGTAAAGCAACCACATGCTTACACGAACCATCATCTCTGTAGGGAAACAACAAGAACGAAAATAAAACCAATACACACTTTAAAAACTGTTACTGTATAACAAGGGCATCAAAACGCTGCATGTACATTTGTATATCTGTCTCCCTCCAAGTTTAGAATGGTAACACTCGAAAGCATTATGATATGGACACGTGTAGAGATGATGGCGCACTAGGAAGAACAGTGTTAGTGATTTTACCCTAGTGCAATAGTGTGGTAGAAAAAATCAGGATCTTTAAAGGTTTCCAATGTTAGAGCTCAATCCTTTGGAATTAAAATGGCCTGTTTTAATGCAGTTCTATATACTCCAGATGGATTGCACATAATGCATTTGAAGGTTGAAAGGAAGTTTGTTGTAAATTAATTTTTTTTTCTGAAAGAAATACACAGTAAAAAATGAACAGGATTGAGGAGCCCTTTGGCCCTCACCTGGATCCACCCCTAGTATTATGAAATGGTGCAAAAAAAACACTCACGCTGCAACACATCCACAACCGGCAGAAATCACTTCGGCATGTCTGGTGAGAAGCACCCAAGTCTGGTACCGCTGGCCTGTCTGGCGTTGTTCTGGCTTGACTGTGGCCTTCACATATTCATGGGAAGTAATCCCGTGTATTTTACCTGAAAGAGGCAAAAAATTTATGATTATATAATTCACAAAAAAATTGCAAGAAAGCTGCTATTTCCATGATTTCGGTGACAGAGTAGCAAAATGAAATGAATTTTCCCATTTAAACCTCATGGGTCATTTTTATTAACCAAAATTAGGCTATGTGAAATGTGCTCAAGCAGACTGGGACCCCCGAGTGCACAAACATAAAAAAAAAATGAGGATAATGTTATGCATTCTTCAGGCAAGTTAATAAAATCTGTCTACGCTATTAATAAAAGCATAGACAGATTTTATTTAGACATTGTTAACTTTTGTCTTGTCTACAAATAGAGGAATAGGCCCTAGCCTACTTCCTGAAAAACATATCCAACATATTAATGGGCAAAGAATGTAGTGTCAACATACCATCATTACTTATCTGGTCATGTAAAATTCTATGGAGATGACCGGTCATGATGGATATCCAAACAAATGGATGTAGGCTAGGCCTAGGCCTAATTCTTTTTCTCACCAAATTGTATTATTTTTTTTCACTTCAACTTTCCAGATTCTGTTTTGGAACATTAAAAACAAATAGAAATTGTGTCAAAATGTCCATCATTGATTGTAACAACTTCATGGACGTTTTTTTTCAATAACGAAAAATGTAAACTTGGCTTAACGTTTAACTAAAGGCCTAAGTATAAATATGCCTATAATATTATAAATAGCCAGTAGGCTAGGCCTACTGTGCTTGTGCTAGTCTAGGCTAGGCCCACCTGAGATTACGCTCTCCACATGACAGTCTTTGAACATCAGGAACCCGTCGTCGCTTTTGTACTTCGATAGCCGTTGTGGTGTCCATGTACAATTCTTGACAAGATACGCAAAGACGTCTCCGAGAGACACGGATGCCATCTCTGTCAAATCAGTACCCCACGAAACATCACGGTCATTCAGATCCAACACCGTCCCGTCACTCGTCACAACTCTCCGACGTGCCTTCGCCGACTCTTCGTGATCACTCCCTCCTAAAACTTTATACCTCTCCGATGCCTTTTCTGCCAACTCTTCTAACTCTCCTCTCTTCTTTCCACTGAATGGAATACCCCGCTCTTTCAAAAAAATTCTCAAGTTGTCTACTGACATTCGCTTAAACCGCGACAAGTCGGCCATGTTTATTTTTTTGTCGACCGGATGGACTCTCCGTGGCAACCTCTAGGTGGCGCTCTGTATATGGAATCGCCCGTATTGGTAAATTGGTAATGTAAGAGACAGCAAAACTGAAGGGTTGCTCAACATTTTCTCAGGTGATCCCAATTCCTGCCTCATAACATGGTCAGGTTCTGATATAGTGACATCCTGTAATATGGCACACTTCGACATTCCCCCCCCCCCCCCCCCCCACATTTCATCATGCAAACTCTTGCAGACAAGCTTCAAATTCATTCAGTTAATGCTTGCTGTTGGACCCTTGTGAACAATTCTATAGTGTCACAAAATATTGGTCTAAATTCCGAAAAAGGAGGCATCCGGAAAATTTGCAACAAAATCTGCCGAGTGTTCCCTAACATGGTACACTTGAACAAATCTCAGAAATTACCCAGTGAACGTTATTTTAAAACTGTCTTAAAGGTGACAAAACTCTGATAAATTATTATTACCTCAACTCACATATTGTTTGTTAGAAAAATTAGGGGCCAATTTTCTGGCCCAGTTTGAAAAGATTCACTGTGTTAACCCTAACTCCTGGGGCTCTTGTACTAGAAAGTATCCTGAATCCGCCAAAATCCACCAATTTTGTCATACAAAAAATGCTGGTATCCTGAGTCCATCAGAATCCCCCAGTGTAAATACTGGAGGTATCCTGAATCCGCCAAAGTCCGACCCACCAGCAAAAGTCTTGATGGATTCTGGCGGATTCAGGATACCATGGTGGCATAAAATAAAATACAGCATGTTTTCAAAATCCATCACCTAAATTTCTGGTGGATTTTGACGGATTGATTCAGGATATCATGCTCACATGAAAATTGTGATGTGTGTTGTTGCATAGGATCCATCAAAATACACCAATGCATGGCGATCCCAGCATTGCATTGCCTGGATGGGTTATTTACATAATCCATTGCTTACATGCCAAGGCCCCAGCCACATGTAGCACCCATCCACCCAGTACATGTGTGTACATGTTTGTACAGTATGCGACAGACTTGGCAGGGCTAGTGCCAGTAGTACTATTTACTTGACCACAAACATTGCAAAAGAGTTTAACTGTTGAGATCCTGAATCCATCAAAGTCCCCCAACAACTCAAAATAGAGGTATCCTGAACCCATCAAAATCTGCCAGTTCCGCTAGGCCTCCAATCCTATGAACATCTTCATCCCTTAACAATTTGTTAAAGAGCCATTTTCCCTTGATATTACAGTTAACTAAATTTTTACGGATTTTTCAACATATTAAGCCAGATTAGGAGTCCGTGAAAACACCCTTAAGAAAGTCCTTTGTTTACCCATGGAGACAGACCCAGTGTACCGTTATGTATAACCAATGATAAACCTCAGTAGCCAGGGTCATTAAAACACCGTGAAAATACCCTTACAGGATTAGTCCTACTGTATATAAGCCACATGTAAATGTCCGTGAAACATCTCTTAAAGATTCTTTTCACGGAGAAATGGACTTATAATGAATTTTTAAGGGATGAAGATTTTCAAAGTACGAATCCATCAAAATCCCCCAGTTTGTTCAATATGGAGGTATCCTGAATCCGCCGAAATCCCCCGAAACAGGGGGGTGGATTTTGATGGATTCAGGTACGTTAGGGTTAAAGACTCATTTTCATGAGTCTTTAATGATTTCCCAAATTGACCACATACATGTACACACTAAAAGGCAATGATCCCCTTTGAGGTTGAAGTTGACTCCATTTTCAATATTCCAAGTTAAGTTAAAATATTACTGGAATGAATTCAATTTCAGTCAATATAGGTTTCAATGATTTTAAAAGCTGCTACATGTGCATGTACATGTATCTAAACAGTGAAAATTGTGCAAGGAGGATTGGCTGACAAGAGGGCCACCATTTTAACAACAGTTTTTATTTTTATGACATTAATATTCCTTATGGAGTTGGCGTGTTTGCAGAGCCTAGCTAACAAAAGCAACACATTTACATTGCTGGAGCACAGCATTTCTTCTTTTGAAAGGTAGAGTTGCAGATATCCAAAAAGGAACTGACCAAATTGTTAAAAAGCTTACTTAACCCTTACTCTCTGAGGGTAGTTTACTGCATGTCAGTTGGTTATGCCAATGCCCTCCAGCTGCAGTTTATTGGCAGATAGTTTGTCTTAACAGTGAAGGCTCCAATTGGCAGGAGTTGGAGGCCCTGGAGGGTGCCTGATACTGACCAGCTGGGGGCACTCACTTTGTTATCAGAGGACTCTCATTGTTCTCTGTGGCATGTATTGGAGTGCCTGTCCAGTTACCCTTGAAATGACATGGCAGATATTGGAGGGCCGTGCAAAAAACATATGCCATTTTCTTAAGGCACATAATGGCATGCGTTGGAGGGTCTAGTAGGGTAAGGGTTAATTGACTTAAAGATAGTGGCACTAAACTCCCTATGAAATGATTCCTCCTGGCAAGCTGTCAGTGTCATTTTGAAGAAAACAATAAAAGACGGTTATATCCAAAGATGAGACACATTTTTGGAAATTTCCGTTACTAGTTGGTTTGTAATTGGGCCAGCCCATGAATGGGTGCACGCAAGCATTAACATGACACACACGTGTGCGCAGTACCTATTATTCGTCGGTTCAGTGCGTGACAGCGCGTAGCTGCAATCGGCTGAATGAGAACGAGTTCCGAATGCTGATTTCGGGTGTAATTCAAAATATGACTTGGCAACTTTTGATTTAAAAATCGAGATCCTAGAATATTGTTTTCTTTGAGTATACAGCATTCACAGAGCAAAAGCTACATTAAGTTAGTTGTTAACCACCTGTTTTTAGATTTCGAGTACTTTGGTTGCTTCAAACAGAACAACTCAATGAATAAATGACAAATAATCTACCCTACCTTCAAATAGCCATGGGAATACTCACCAAAGGTCCATTGAGGGTCAGTTGCTTGTTCTTTTTGTGGACATGGTGGAGGGTTCACACTAGGGTCTACAACTGTTTCAACTTAAAAAAAAAATTAAAAAAATTACAATTCGTAAGTTTTAATTTCCAAAGGGTTGGTATCCCTGTAGCATCAAGTAATCAATCCACATGTCTTTAAAACAAGATCAAGAAAGTTTATGGATGAAATGCATTTTTTTGTGTGTTACGTTTAACCCTTTCATGCCCACATTGTTTATTGACTTGGCTCTCCCCAGGACCAAATTGTTTGCTCAGTCATGCGGAAATCACTAGAGCGTGAAAAAAATGAGCACGAGTCAAAAACTCACTTTTTCAACCCAGATTTTCACTGCCAAGGAGTGATTAAAATCATAAGTGTTGTGTGTAAAGTTTGTTCCTTGAACCTTACTCTTTTATGTGATGTAAAAATGAAGTCCATACGTGCAAATATAAGAAAGTTATGCCTTTTGGTTCATCTGGTCCCAATTATCAAACTGCAAGCCATTTCACCACATCACCAAATGGCACTCCATACCTCAAATTGTGCGTGGATACTTCTGAAGCACTTTTCTCATTTTTTTGTAATAGTAACACTATGAATAAACCACACCAATAGAAAGATCCGAAAACGCTCTTTCAGCTGGTATATGGTTGATGTATGGGCGGCCAAACATATCAACATGCCGCCTTTCTGAAAAGTAGTGAATATATCTGTGTTGAGGGTGTTTTGTGTGTGGTTTCCTGGTCGACTAAAGTCGCCCATGAGAACCAGCAGGGGGGTACTTCTTGTCGACAAAAGTCGCCCATGGTAAGGAAAGGGTTAAGGCTCTGGGTTGAGACTGTCAATTCATAAAACGTCTGAAAATTTGATCTGAAGGCTGCATTTTTTCCTGTACTGACGTCTTCCTCTTCGATTCAAAAGGTCGGGTTTCAGACAAAAGTCCGAAAATATCTCATGCCTTGAAAAAAAAACATCTTTTAAAATCAAACCTTGTGTACTTGTAACAGTAGGTGTAGTCTGCTCTGGACATGGTGGGCACGTCAGATCTGGCAAAACAAACCAAAGTTGTAAAACTTCCAAATGTTTAACTCATGGTGCAAAAAATATAGCAGACCAAAAACAAAATCCAATTGGCAACATGGACAGTTGACTAGATAGTCGGATTTGTTGTGTCCAAGTGATTAGGGTGTGCCTATGATCAGAGGGTCAGGGGTTCAAATCAAGATTCTAGCTATATGTTGTGTCCTTGGGCAAGCCACTTCACCCCACTTCCTTCTTTCCACATGGGAGTGTACATGGGTAATGGAATTAGGTGGGGAGTGTAGCCCATGATGGACTGGCATCCCATCTGGGAGGGGGGGGGGGGGGAGAATGGAAATATTTTCAGTTGTTTCATGCCAGGGAAACTGGAGACAAACGTCGGCCCGATTGGCCATATTTGCTAGTGACATACTTACTGCTACTACTATTACTACACTGCCAAAAATATTTTCTTACTTAAGAAAACTTTTCTTGAAATTAGAAAAATATTCTAGATTTAAGATAATTTGTAAGAAAAAACAAAATGGGCAAGAAAATACTTCTTAAAATATTTAATAAAATATACTTGAAGAAATTATATCTTTTTTAAAGATTTTTTTCTCAAAATTATTCTCATTACAAGAAAATTTTCTAATTTTAAGAAAATTTCTTACATAAGAAATTTGTTTAAGAACTACGAGCTGTGTTTTTCTCATATTTGCTATCTATTTTCTTATTTTAAGAAAATATTTCCTGTTAACAAAAACAATTCTTGTCTTCAAAAAATGCTACACTTCAAGAAAATTATTCTTGCCAAGTGTTCTTTGCTGATGCATTGTACAAAAAAATACTTTCTCATTTTAAGAAAACTTTTCTTGAATGAAATTAAAATTGTATGACTTTGGCCAGAACAACAGAGGGCGCTGTTGGGGGAGTGGCCAACTGAAATTTAAAAGTGTATTGTTTCAGCTGTCAGGCCTGAACATTCACTTATCATTTTTATTCTGCCAGAGGTATGTACAAATGTTAGTTTTATTGTCATGTTTTAATTTAATTATCATAGATTAAGGATGGCTTTTTGTATGAACTTTATTGTTGAAGATGTTTAAGGATTGAAAAGATTGAAAGTTGTGTAAGTTTCGGATCGGTAGTTGCAAATGTATGCATACTGTAATACATGTTGAACATTGCACACATAACCCACTAAGCATGAGTGAGATAGCAATTCCTTTTCTTTTATAGAAAGTAACATATAAAGTGGCAGTCACTGATATGACAATTGATTTTTAGATGTTCTTATTCCTCCATGTTAGAAGTGAATCTGAGTTTGGCGATTAGGCTCTGCCCGAGAAGCAAATCTAAGTTTGGAGAATAATGCTCAAAACTTGGTTTGAAGTTCACCAATAAAAATGTATATTGGCCTAGTTATGACAGTGACAAAATTTTTAAATAAAGTTGTAATGTAAGGTGAAAATACTATTATTGAAACGAGCAAACTATACAGGGTGATTAAAAAAGGTAAGCCTGAAACAAAGGACTTTTATTTGTTAAATATTAACACAATGTCTTCATGGCATCCATTGCTGCTATGATGAATGCATACCTTTGCCTTGAAGTTGTTTTCTTGTAGTAGGAAAACAATTCTCATTAATTTGTACTAAGATTTATGATGTCTTTTCTTTTGGAATCCAAGAAAACCTCAGCAGAAACAAAAAAAAAAACACCCAAGATTACAATTCCAGCTAGGAGTTAATTGTCTTGATTCAAGAAAAGAAAAAAGGTTTTCTTGTGTCATTCCTAATCCTAGAAAATGGTAACAAGAAAATTGTCCTTGCATGTTTTCTTAAAATAAGAAACATAACTGAGAAAAGTTGATTTCAGGTGGATTGAGCAATATAAATTTTCTTGCAGTTTTTCTTAAAATAAGAAACATACTGAGAAAACTTTAGAAAAAAATATTCTTAATTTGACAAAAGTTGAGAAAGAAACAAGAAAAAAAATAACAGCGTTGCTGTTGAAACCCCTCAGCCAGAGTCAAGTTATCATCCGGAAACCATTAACCTTTAACTCACGTGGTGACCTTGACCTTTGGCCTTTGACCCCAGAACCAGTCCCAACATGCCTGTACCAATGGGAAACCCCCTACCGAAGTTAGACACCAACATTTCATTTCTAACTCAAGTTATCATTCGGAACCATTTACATTGAACTCACCACGGTGACCTTGACCTTTGACCTTTTGACCCCAAAACCAATCCCAACTTGCCTGTACCCAAGGGCAAACCCCTACCTCAGTCAGACACCAAAATCTCATTTCTAACTCAAGTTATCATCCGGAAACCATTTACCTTTAACTCACCATGCTGACCTTGACCTTTGACCTTTTGACCCCCAAACCAATCCCAACTTGCCTTCTCCCAAGGGGAACCCTCTTCCAAAGTTAGACACCAAAATTGCATTTCTAACTCAAGTTATCATCCGGAAACCATTTACCTTTAACTCACAATGGTGACCTTGACCTTTGACCTTTTGACCCAAAAACCAATCCCAACTTGCCTACTCCCAAGGGCAACCCTCTACCAAAGTTAGACACCAAAATCTCATTTCTAACTCAAGTTATCATCCGGAAACCATTTACATTTAACTCACCACGGTGACCTTGACCTTTGCCCTTTTGACCCCAAACCCAATCCCAACTTGCCTACTCCCAAGGGCAACCCCCTACCAAAGTTAGACACCAAAATCTCATTTCTAACTCAAGTTATCATCCGGAAACCATTTACATTTAACTCACCACGGTGACCTTGACCTTTGACCTTTTGACCTCAAAACCAATCCCAACTTGCCTACTCCCAAGGGCAACCCCCTACCAAAGTTAGACACCAAAATCTCATTTCTAACTCAAGTTATCATCCGGAAACCATTTACATTTAACTCACCACGGTGACCTTGACCTTTGACCTTTTGACCTCAAAACCAATCCCAACTTGCCTACTCCCAAGGGCAACCCCCTACCAAAGTTAGACACCAAAATCTCATTTCTAACTCAAGTTATCATCCGGAAACCATTTACATTTAACTCACCACGGTGACCTTGACCTTTGACTTTTTGACCCCAAAACCAATCCCAACTTGCCTACTCCCAAGGGCAACCCCCTACCAAAGTTAGACACCAAAATCTCATTTCTAACTCAAGTTATCATCCGGAAACCATTTACATTTAACTCACCACGGTGACCTTGACCTTTGACCTTTTGACCCCAAAACCAATCCCAACTTGCCTACTCCCAAGGGCAACCCCCTACCAAAGTTAGACACCAAAATCTCATTTCTAACTCAAGTTATCATCCGGAAACCATTTACATTTAACTCACCACGGTGACCTTGACCTTTGACCTTTTGACCTCAAAACCAATCCCAACTTGCCTACTCCCAAGGGCAACCCCCTACCGAAGTTACAACCCCAAACAACATTTCTAACTCAAGTTATCATCCGGAAACTAAGCTGCCCGGACGGACGGACGGACGGACGGACGGACAGACATACATACATCCGGACGGACGGACGCCCTAGGCGATGACAATACCCCTCGAGCCTCTCGGCTGAGGGGTAAAAACTAGATTTTTTTTGCAATATGAAGGGGTTATATTCTTGATTCAAGAAAAGGAAAGAGGTTTTCTTGTGTCACTCCCTAGAAAATTGTAACAAGAAAAATTTTCTTGCAGTTTTTCTTAAAATAAGAAACATAACTGAGAAAAGTTTAGAAAAAAATATTCTTAATTTGACAAAAGTTGAGTAAGAAACAAGAAAAAAAACTAGATTTTTTTGCAATATGAAGGGGTTATATTCTTGATTCAAGAAAAGGAAAGAGGTTTTCTTGTGTCACTCCCTAGAAAATTGTAACAAGAAAAATTTTCTTGCAGTTTTTCCTAAAATAAGAAACATAACTGAGAAAAGTTTAGAAAAAAATATTCTTAATTTGACAAAAGTTGAGTAAGAAACAAGAAAAAAAACTAGATTTTTTTTGCAATATGAAGGGGTTATATTCTTGATTCAAGAAAAGGAAAGAGGTTTTCTTGTGTCACTCCCTAGAAAATTGTAACAAGAAAAATTTTCTTGCAGTTTTTCTTAAAATAAGAAACATAACTGAGAAAAGTTTAGAATTTTTTTTCTTATTTTGACAAAAGTTAAGAAAATTATTTATCCTAAATCAAGAACACTAGAAAAAAAATCTAATAACAAGTTTCTTAAAACAAGAAATGGCCTTTTAGAAATATTTTCTTGTGTCACTCCCTAGAAAAAATAACTTGTTTTAAGTTTTTTTTTCTCAAAATAAGAAATATATTTTTGGCAGTGTACAGTTGATTAGAAAGTTCATCTCTGTAAATCTTAAAAGACTGTTGGCTGCTGAAGAACAAGGTCATACAAAATGTTTTTTTTTGCAAATTGTGCACTAACTACTGGATGTTGGAAGTCTGTAACTTTGGATGTCTTGTCTTACCTTGACGTCGGCAGCCGCAAACTTTGTCTGCCCTTCCTGTGGCATTTATGAGCACCTTTAATCAAAACATGAAATAGAACGATCAAATATCAAGGTGGTGTAAGATGAAATGTTATAATGTTACAATTTGTGGGAATATCGGAAATCAAAGCAGAGAAATCACCGTGCCAAGACTGATCAACATTATTGGAATGATTTACTGGGCCCAAAAAAAAAAGTAGTTCAAAAAGTAGCACAATTACAGTGGCAGCTTCAAAACGTTTGATGTAAACGAAAAAGATTCAATGAAGACAGTGTCTTGAATTGTGCTTCTTGCGGATCAAGTCAGCCTGATATAAATAATAATAATATTGGATGGCTTGTTTTCGGTGGATACAAGAATATTGCACTCGCTATGACAATATTGCACTCGCCTTCGACTCGTGCAATATTGTCATAGCTCGTGCAATATATTCTTGTATCCACCTCAAAGCCATTCGATATTATATAAATGTTTAACAGATGGACACTTTTAATTTTCATTTGGCCATACCGTGAAATAACTAAGAATGTGACTTTGCGTTTAATTTTGTAAATGTTTTGGTAATTTTTTAAGAAACATTGAAATATTTAGCCATTTTACAAAGGCTGATGCCTGCCCATGTCTGCAGACCGGCATGATTGACATAAATCAATAATTGACATAATAAATAGTGGACACATACATTGAGAAAAATTTGTTTGCTGTTTAACTCCAAAAAAGATCGGATAAACGGAGGTCCATTTTTTATAATTCGAGTTTCATCTAATGTTATGAACATTTGTGAAAGGATTTAGAATTGTTTTCGTTTAAACATGTAAACGTCATATCCAACGAATGTTCATTGTGAGACCATAAAGCCAGTTCAAAAAGCCGGTAGTCACACCTTCCACCCACCAAATTACCTCTTCATTAGGTTTGCACGGAGTAACAGGACGGCAAGCCAAGCATCGGTTGTCAAAGGGGGAGAATTTACCATACGGGCAGGGTTTACAATACGAACTGCAACTGAACAGAGAAGATCGGGAGCACTGTCAAAGAGCATCTTCATGATACCATATGGGAAGTGTTGAACAACTCATCTAGATGGTCAATTGTTTTAGATGCCCATTGTAAAATGGACACATTCCCAATCAGAACAATTTATGCTCCCTGTAGGTCCCCCCCCCCCAAAAAAAACCCAGGCATTTTCAGGGGCACGCACATGAACATGACACAAAACATGGTACATGCCACTTCTTCACTGCTGTATCAGTGTCAAGTTTTTGTTTTCATCAAGACTGCATGAGACTGCATCACCAAGCAACCCAGTCGATTTCATCTGTAAAAAAAGTAAATTCAAAAAAACATCCTGAATCCAAACATTTTGTCCAAGCCAGCCCTCCCCCTTCAGTTCTCATCACACTTACTCAATGTTGTCTTGATCAAAAGTATCACAGGGAATATCCAGGTAGGTTCCACTTATACAATGGCAATTGATTGTTGCCCTGCAGAGTGTCTCTGGTTCATCATTGTCCTGCTTGTCGCAGGGCCACTTGTCTGGTGACTAGAAAAGAAGACAATTGTTTACCTCCAAAATGAGTTGTAGACAAGTCCACCCAAATTCATATCATCCATCACAAGTAATGCAATTACTCAGTCCAACAGCATCCAACTACATGTATTTGGGTACTGTTGGATTGAGCAGTAAACCCTTTGTATACATTCCTATTGAAATCTGTTGGATTCAGCAGGCAACTTAAAGGTAGAGTCCACCATTTGTAATTTGTGCGTTTTTTTTTTCGTCTGAAGCAACAAAAGACAAATGCTCAAAATCTAAAGAAGGGTGCTGAACAACTAACCTGATTAAGTTTCAGCTCAGTGAATGCTGTACATTCTGAGAAAACAATATTCTAGATCTCGATTTCAAATCAAAAGTTGCTGAGTCATGTTTTGAATTGGGCCTGAATTCAGGGTCCGAAACACGTTCTTACTGAGCCGATTGCAGCTACGCAATGTTGCGCACTGAACCGACAAATTATAGCAACCGAGGGCGCTTGTGCATCATGTCAACCCTTGCGCCTGCTTCGCCGAATAAAAAAACAAACTACTAACGGAAATTTCCAACGATGCGTCTTTGGACGCATCATTGCAAAGGCCTTCTGTCATTGATTTCTTGAAAAAATGACAGCATGTCAGAAAGAATAATTTCACAGGGAGTTTTCGATTACTATCTTTAAACCATGTATGTTTTTCAACAATATAATTACGTCAGTTACTTTTTGGATAGCTGCAAATGGTGCTGTACCTTTAAAACATTCAGAGTTGGATTCTGTTGGATACAGTGGCGTAGCCACCGCGGGGGGGGGGGGGGGGGGGGGGGGCGACCGCCCCCCCCATGAAACCTTGTCGCCCCCCAGTCACCCCCCCCAACTGAGATTTTGAGTTTCTAAAAAAATTATCATTGATCTACATGACGCCATGGGCGTCAATCCTGGGGGGGACAGGGGGACTGGTCCCCCCCCCCCACTTTTTGAAGGGTGGGGGACACAATATTTAATGTCCCCCCCCCCTCCAAATTTTTGAACTTGTGTCTCATTTACAGGGCCCTATTATGTACTACAATGTATCTTTTGCTTAGAAAATATTGGTTAAAGTGGTCAGAAATTGCCTAAGATAGCACCACAGAGCATTGAGAATCCAAAATTTTTCGGGCCCTTAAGCGGGCCCCGAACCCCACGCCTATAGCTCAGAATTCTGGTAGCTGATTCAATGACTCCAACCTTGAAAACAATGTTCACAAAATTTCTTATGCCTTTAGCTGAGAAAACCTAGAAAATTATGTGTAAATTATTATCTTTTGTGCTAAGATAATTATTGGTTAAAGTGGTAAGAAATTGCCTCAGATCACACCACAGAGCATCGAGAATCCAATTTTTTTCGGGGCCCTTAAGCGGGCCCCGAACCCCACGCCTATAGCTCAGAATACCGATAGCTGATTCAATGACTCCAACCTCGAAAACGATGTTCAAATAATTATCTTTTGCTAAGAAAATATTGGTTAAAGCATGGAGGAAAGTGGTCAGAAATTGCTTCAGATCACACCACAGAACATCTAGAATCCAATTTTTTGGGGGCCCTTAAGCGGGCCCCGAACCCCCACGCCGCAAGGGCTTCGCGCTTCGCATCAGTTCTGATCAAGGTATGTCCCCCCCCCCCCACTTTTGAGAAGCGAATGACGCCCCTACATGACGCCCCCCCCCCCCATGAAATGTTCCAGCCCCCTAGCCCCCCCCCCCCCCCCCCCCCCCACTGAAAAATACCTGGCTACGCCACTGGTTGGATACCAATGCCAAGTTGGACTCTGTTGGATCCAGCAGTAAACAGAAAAAATAAGGCACAGTTGCATTCTGTTGGATGGAGCATGCCAGTCATATTCAGCCAGGTACCCAACAACCTGGCAAGTTGGGTTGTGTGGGACATGTCTATTAGACAGACGTAAGACAGGACTTGTGGCTCCGTGGATAATGGGCGATACTCGAACTGGGGGGGGGGGGGGGGTGGAGCAGGAGGACATTTAACTTTGCCTAAAAGCTGGGGTTGCATGTTCTTAGTATGAGCTAAAAACCTGTAACCTGTCTTTATTTGGCTGGGGGGGGGGGGTGTTTACGCCCCCTAGTGGACAAAGTAAAGGGGGAGGGGTGGCCAATCCCCCCCCCTTCCACCACTGTTGATTGTAAATCCATAATTTCTGTTGAGTGTGGATTGTGATTGTTTGATTTGTGCTATCGATCGCCCCATCGTGCAGAAATGCATTTAATTTTGTGCCAATTGTGGCGATCCTGTGAGAAATCAGTCTTATTTGACTTGTTTAAAAAACAATCTGCTACAGAGCCGTATCATAGAAAGAAAAGGGGCATGATCAAACGATGGCAGCACTATCACCTCCTGACTGGCCAGTGTTTATAGCGCAAAATTCAGTGATCACGCCCATTCCTACTCAACACCCTAAATACTTACCGGTACTGCAGCTTCAAGACCATGAACGAAAGTGAGGGCCAGTATAGCACCAGCAAACAACATTAGGCAGTGTCTGGACATGCATGCTGCCATGGCTGCAAAGATTCGGGAGGCTAGTCTGGAAAATCAAACCAGATTAATTGTGCATAGGAATTAGGATGGTAAAATATGTGACTCAACTTAGCATGTTAGATTCGTGTATGAAACACGAATCTTAAACATGCCAACACAATTATTTTTTTTACATTTTTGCAAATGTTACTGTGTTTAAGGGTACACATGTACATGTACATCCCATCAAAAGCAACCATCCCAACTGTAGGCCTACTGTAGTTGGGACAGTCCAAACTAGGCTAGCTATAGGCCTGCAGTTTGGTCTGCCCAGTCCAAAAAATATAAAAAGTAGTTTTGGTAACTTCTAGGACTAGGAGCAAAAGCCACAGTACGTGACCAAATTTACACGCCTGTATGCTACCTTAATTCAAACTAGAAAATTTTGAATTAGGGGAATTTTCTTGCAGACTCGTAATACGTAGTCCAAGTAACTAGGACTCGATCTACGGATCGCTTTTTTAACATTTGGACAAATGTGAAAAAAGCGATCCATAGAGTCCCCCCCCCCATTATTTTCATGTCAGGGTTATTTGAAGTATAATGACTTTTTGACCTTTACTTTGACCTTGAATTTGACCTTGTGGATCACCCGACTTTGAGACGAACTTGGATGAAAATTAAACCCAACCATGTTTTCTACAAAATATCAAAAAAATGGGGGTATAATATTTTTTGTTTGGTTTCTAGCTCATATCAAAGTTGGCAAACGTGTTGCAAAATGTGATATCCCTATGCAGTGTACTAGTGGATTTAAAGTAGGGATTTTTTGTCTCTGAAATATGTTAATGTACAGGGATATCCCATTTTTCAACACGTATGCCAACTTTGACATGAGCTAGAAACCAAACAAAAAATATTGTACACCCAATTTTTTGATATTTTGTAAAAAACATGTTGGGGTTTAATTTTCATCTAAGTTTGTCTCAAGGTCACGTGATCCACAAGGTCAAAGTCAAGTTCAAAGTAAAGGTCGAAAGGTCATCATATTTTAAATTACTTTAACATGAACAGTAGTGGTAAATTTGGATTCTTTATGAAGTTACCTTTCCAGAGAAACCAAGATTAACAAATTTGGCCCGCAGGTTATGGAAATATGGTCATTTGAAAATTGGAGGCCACGCCCATTTTGACCAAAATTGCTAAACAATGGCGGGCGGTAGCACAAAAAACGTTTGTCCGATTTGAAGGGGGTGGGGTGTAACCCATTGGGTGATTTGACATGGAATGATCCAATAGTCCGAGTAACTTGGATCCCAACCTCGTCCCCAGTGCTTACTTCATTTCCAACCGTGTTAAACCCTGGATAGGAAACTTTCTTCCTGTATCCTGATTGGATACCGCAATTGGCTAGTAATGGATTTTTATCGTGTACTTGGTGCTATATATTCACAACGTGCAGTACGTGTTTTCGCGATCATTCGTCCACGCCTTCTCGAAAATACTAATTTCCTTTCCAATTTGCTCATATTAATATGAAATATGATACTGCATGTTGTCTCGATAAGATCGTAACAGTTTGATTTCAAAAATCGTGTTTTCATAACTCACGCCGTGCTCGCGCTGCTACGAATTGACTCTGTTTTTACCCCAGACACCGCATACAAAAACAAACGCTAATGTGTAGCACATATCCAGGCACCAGACTGTTCCTCATTTGCATACGTGAGCAAAAATCTTGCACATGCAAATGATCCAATACCAGGGTGAGAGAGCAGGTAGCGGTGGGCGCGTACTGCTCGACACCCTGGGGACGAGGTTGCTTGGACCCAACCTTTCACCTTTTTAACATTTGGACATCATGGACATGGTCTGGTGATAGTCCCCCTACCATATGTCCACATGTTAAAAAAGGCAATTCGTAGAGTCCTAGTTACTCGGACCAACATGACCGATTGCAGGTCAACTCGCCCCCTGGCCGACTCGACTCTTACCGACTCGCCCCTTACCGACTCGCGCCCTGACCTACTCGCCCCCTGACCGACTCGCCCCTCACAAACTCGCCCCCTGGGCTGGCTGACTCGCCCCCAGCCGACTCGCCCCCTCGCCTCCTAGCCGACTCGCCCCCTGACCGACTCGCCCCCTGACCGACTCGCCCCCTGGAAAATTATCCACTGACGGGGACATCGTGAAATAAAAAAAAGACAGTGGAGGGGAACACATTGGCTTGCCCGGTCGCAACGTGAAACTTAATGGAGCCAAATTATTCAAAGCCATTTTTGAAGGATTTCCAGTGTCCACTGTCTTTTTTTCCCACGATGTCCCCGTACTGTGCATCATTTTCCAGGGGGCGAGTCCGTCAGGGGGCGAGTTGGCCAGGAGGGGAGTTGGCGAGGGGGCGAGTGGGCGAGTCGGTTAGGGGGCGAGTCGGTCAGGGGGCGAGTCGGTAAGGGGCGAGTCAGTAAGGGGCGAGTCGGCCAGGGGGCGAGTTGACCTGACACCACATGACCAATTTGCCCAATGCCCGGCCCAATGGCAATGCCCGGATGCCTAGCTATGTAGAATTGTGGAATTTCCAACGAGTGTGGAATTGTCGAATTTCCGAGTATTATTAACAATGCAGCTGCAAGGGTTTTCTAACTTGGAAATTTGTATGAAGTCTTGACGATGTCGGTTGTTGTCGAGTTGTAATGGTAGCACTAGCAGTCAAAGAAAGTCATGAAAGTGGCAGCTCAGATGTCACATCCCGGCTATCTTGCAAATTGCCCCACAAATGTATTACTTCCGCTGTAAACTTAAACGTTAAACCCACGTCGCGACGTCGTCACGCACGCGTCTAGTCTATAATCGCGGCGGCGGCGCCCTCAAGAGTTTATTGTGCCACAAAAGGCGGAGTCGTTTGACTTGGCGTGTGGAGTTTTTGATGGACCAGCAAGTTTGGTTTCTTGTAATTAAATTATGGTTAATGTTGGTATTTTTATTGCCTAAGGTATTAAATAAGTTCGGGGTTAGGAGAAATAAACATGTGCAATGATAATCGGTGAAATCATTCAATAAAATAATCATGAATGAAGCTGGCAGGCTGGAGTAACTTTAGCTTGATAAATTCCAGCTTAACAAGCTCATCAGGAATTGACCACATGGGAGTTCTTGATGAGCTTGTTCAAAGCTGGAATTACTCAAGCTAACCTAATGCGATATTAAGCATTGCAGCTGGAGTTACTCAAGCTAACCTTAGTGCCTTTTGGACTAGGCCTATTTTTGTTTAGTTTTGCACTGGACAGTTGTGCGCTTTCTTGTGATTTGTGCAATCAAGAATGCGCAAGCACATTTTTATGATTGCGCAACTGGATCCTTGCGCAATCTGCCAGATTGAGCGCACTTGCTTAAGAATGCACAATTCACAAGCACAAGAGAACGGTCTTGTGGATGCCAAGAACCGGCTGCGCTTGGCACTTAGCGAGTCTATAGCTGCATCCTCGTTTACCGTGTTTACTGTCTGATTCTTGGGCCATACTTAAAATAGTTATAAATGTTGCAACGCAAGGTCACTACGCCATGGAAAAGATTTAACAATGAAAAGTAGAGTGGAGATGAAAGTACTATACACGTTTTTGGGGAAATAATAAGAGACGTAATAGCAATAGTGTAGTGGCATGAGTGGAAAGAATTCTGATTTTTGGGATAACATAAATAACAAGTTCCTCATGATCATTGTGTTCTCTCAGCATGTATATGATGCAGGGATTTGTAACTTGTCCAGACTATTAACTTCCTGAGGGGGGCAGAAAATAGCAATAAGGCGAAGTAAAAAAACAAACATGTTTAGCGTCCCCGCCCGCTTCCTTTTTAGAGGCCGCCTCCTTTTTTTTTTTTTTTTTTTTTTTTTTTAAGACAAAAATTGATAAATTTTAACGATCTCTGACGAAAGAAATCATAATTTAGACTTTTATACCGTGTATAAAGCTGTGGAAATAGTCAATGAGTCCAAGTGGCGGCCATTTTGAAAAAAGCTGGTAAGCTGGCGTCTTGAAAAATGTGTCGGGCGGCCATTTTGAAAAAAAAAAAAAAAAAAAGGGCCTCCTTCTTCCTTTTTGTCAAAGAGGCAGGACGCTAAACATGTTTTTTTTTTTATTTTGCCTAATAACAGCTTTTATTAAATTCAAATTTAATCGTACAAATGGCTAAGTACAGAAATATGATGAACAATGAGAATAATTTGCCTATAGCAAAACCATGGCGTTCGCTAGTCTTTAGGACCCCTTTATATTTTGCTTGACAGGTCGACCGTTGTGCATGAGTCGGTTGTCATTCAAATGGTTCTCTGACTTTACCTTCCTTAAAAAAAAATCCTTTAGAGCCCTGAATCAGAAAGATAAATTAAATCTGGCCTTCACCAGCTTTTTGGTTCAAAATATAGAGGGCCGGGGGGTGGCAACTAATGCCAAAAACAATTCACCAGCCAACATGTGATGCATATTTGATTGGCGTTTTTCATCTGATACTAATCCGTTAATTGGCCAAGCTGTACTGTCCACCACTAGCACTTTGCAGCTTCATGAAGACAAGATATCTGCTAATTTGATTTTTGTTTGTCATATTCTGCCATTCTCAGATTGCTACAATATGACGGAACGAGCAACGGATGATAAGCCAGCCACAGAAGATGCAGATGTGCCACGGAAGACGCCGCTCTTTCTCTTCTTCACATGTAAGACCTCGGGGAGCAGCTTCTTGAAGCACAAGCTCCTTGACATTGCCGTCCACTGCTGGCCGTATGACGACAATGCGCCGGTGTTCTACAGAAGAATCAATCACGCAGACAAGGAGAAAGGACAGGGAAAAACGAGATGTGGGTACAAAAAAAAACAAGCGTCACATTGCTCGACATATCGTCACCATTTTCACGAAGGGACACACATATGTTTTTTTGATTTCAAGTTTTTGGAGTATTTCGCTTTAAAACATCTGACTTGGGAAATGCTTCTGTAAGCAAAACATCACTAATTTCTTAATTACATTAATGATGCCAGGGGCAGGCATCTCGATAGTTCCATTTTGCATTTTCATGAAGAGACACGAACATTAATTGCTGCCCCTTGAACGCTTAAAAAACGCATTGGACGGAAAGGCATAAAAGTAGGTCAAGTGAGATTTTCGTTTTCACGAAGAGCCACACATCTTTATTACAACAGGTCATGACCTCCAGGGCATGTACAGGCCTTGCATGCCAGGGGGATAGCGCAAGTTTTACTTGCAGTATTTTTTTCTCTTGCCTTTAATTAGGTAGACAAACAAGCAAAAGCCAAAGTAGTGAGTCCTCTGGTAACAGCAACAGCAGGAAATCGGCTGCTGTTGGTGTGATTGAGGAATTACTCCAGTGGATTGACAGCACTGTGGAAAAAGCCAGCTCAGCATTGGGACTGACGCTTTATCCAGGTATCGACTTTATGCATCAGCTTTAGGGTTGTGCACCGGAACCAGGTACTTCCCCGAGTACCCGACCGCTGATGTCAGGAACCGGGTCCAGATTATGGGATCGAGTACCCGTTGTAGCATATGAATTTAGGTTTTATGAAATACGGACTCTTTGGTGGTATTGCGCATGCTCATGCATAGATAATAAGGAGAGGGACCGGTCACATGAGAGGGTTTAACCAATAAAAGGGAAAAAGAGTCAGATTTTCATACGAGTCCGATTTTCATATGACACCGTAACCAACTTTACAAATTGCTTGGTAACTTATCAGACAATGAAAGAATTTGGTTTCAAATGTCATTTGTGAGGAATTTGAAAATTGAAACCAGGCTACATATAACGCTCACAAAAGTTCCCAAAAATTTACACCGTAAAGCTATAGTATAAACTCACTAAACACACTTGTACATCTTGCTGTACTATTGATGCACTGATATCATTGTGAGCTAATAAACTTTGATGTGATAATTTTTGATGTATGCAATTTTGGCCCTACAATGCATACATGTGTCTTGATGCTTGTGTCCTTCAGCAAGACAGTTTACTACAATCACAGGTTTGCTTCTCGAATTCAGGTGCAAACGTGCATGTATTAATTGTTCTTCTGTTGTCAATTTTTCCAGTTTTGATCGCCCACTGGGGGGAGACGTTCCAATTCCTCTTCCTGTACCGGATGCTGGAAAAGTACGGCATCAGCGCTACGGAAACCCTGGGGGCGCACGGTGTGCATTTTGCCGACCCTGTGCCAGTCTTGAAGCAGGTATGAAAGGATATAATGGCCAATCGCTCTCAGGGAAATCTGTTTAAAGGGAAAAGTAAAAATGGCTGTTCCATCTTTAGCGTTGGTATTAAGGGTTACTTTGGCCAAGTTCGGGCAAGGACCATTAGTCGACTAGTGGTTGATTTGTGACGTACCTTACGCCTGCGCACTGATAGCAACATGCGAACGTCTCTAGTCAAACGCTGGTCAAAATGTCATCGCAAAACTTCTGGATCCTGGCTCTCTGCTAGCGTTATGAATGCGCGCGGCTATTGGTTACCAGCAAAGCAACCAACCCCAGTAGGCTGGTTCCAAATAGTCGACTAGCGTAGTCAACCACCGTTGACTAGACAGAATTCGGGCAAACGTTAGTTAACCATTGGTCAACTATAGTCCTTGCGCGAACTTGGCCTTTGTTGCTCATTTTCCCCCTGAGCAAGCACTTCTCCATTTTTTCAAGCAAGCTTAGAAACCATCACTGGAGCAGTGGTGTCAGTAGGAGGTACGCAGGTGGTCCTCGGTTTTTTGGGGGACCTCATACCTCAAGCTAGTCTGAGTATCACCCGTTGTCCACGGAGCCCTATATCCAATCCAACATCTGATATCTAAGAATGCAAAGTTGACGCCACGCGCCAGCCAATCAGAGTTGACTTTACTAAATCATTTCACTCCTAAATCTAGACTAAGATTGTGATTGCAGTGTTTTTGAAATACAACAATGGCTGGGCGCGCCCGCATAGATCTACAAAACCTAGACACGACCGTAATTGGATGGCCCTATTATTGCTTGGCGTATCACCTAACATATCGTTACAGCTAGCGCGTAACTGCAGATTTTTTGCTCAATTCACAGTATAAAAAAGAATAAAAAGATGCCGTGTCTAGGTTTTATTGACAGATATCCATGAAGAGACCTGGGCCCAATTTCACGGCGCTGCTTAACAGTTAGCAGAAAAGTTGTGTTTAGCATAGCAGAAAAATGTGCTAACCTTAAGCACTATTTCGCGGCGTGGACGTGCTAACGGTCGCGCGTGCATGGAGATTTCTATTGTTACGTCACTAAGTTAAGCAAATTTTTCCTCCGAGGTAAGCATGCCTTTTGCTGTGCTTATGCTTACGGTCTCTGTGAAATAGACGGAGGCTCTGTTAGCAGAAAACCGTGTGCTTACCAGCGCCGTGAAATTGGGCCCAGATATAGAAAGTGCCCGCTGAATGGCCAGAATTGTGGACCCTGTCGTCCTCTATTGTTCAACAACCCCTATTGAATGCAAAATCAAACCCAGTAACACCCAATAGGGTTGTCAAAATGCATGCAAGCTACAATTGTGAATGGGAAGTGCATGTGAGGATACGGTTTCTTTTGTGTGTGTCGGATTAGTCTTGACTTCTGTACTTTGTCCCATTCATCACAGTATAAAGAGGCTAGGCACCCGTGGCTCGTTGAATCGCGATCCCTGGGTCTTGTTTCACTGCTCAATGACTGGTTCCCTGCACAGTTTGACGAGGCAGGTGTGTTGTGAGCCACGACAGTTCCCCCCCCCCCCCTCCATTTCCTTATGAATGATTTGACCTTTGTTGTCATAAAATCACCTTTGTTTTTATTGCCATCACCACATCAGTGTTATTACCATTATCACCACCATGTGATCACCAATATCATTATCACCACTTTATTTGTTTGACTATCCCCATTTTACCACCATCGATCATCAGTATCACCATCATCACCATTATCATGATCACCATCATCACCATTATCCCCATCACCATCATCACCATTATCATGATCACCATCATCACCATTATCATGATCACCATCATCACCATTATCATGATCACCACCATCACCATTATCATGATCACCATCATCGCCATTATCATGATCACCATCATCACCATTATCATGATCACCATCATCACCATTATCATGATCACCATCATCACTACCATCACCTCTATTACTATCACCACTATTACCTATCATCACTATTATCACCATTACAATCAACCTAGTCACCCTTACAATCACCATATAGTCACCCTTGCAATCACCATTTTCACCATTACAACTATCACCATTTTCAGAATCACTACCATCACCTGATCACCTTCATTAACAGCATTATTATCATTATTGCCATCACTACTATGCTTGCGTGGATTTTGAGGGTTAGTGGTATTATCAGATACTTTTCTGGGCAGACTATTATGTGATCAAATACAATAAGACACGTGGTGTTAGGGAAACTGCAAATAGGCAGCATGGTCAGAACTGCAGAGCTCCTGCTGGATGACTAGTAAGCACAGTTTTCACATAATCTAGAGATAAAGTGACTGCAGTGAATTAAAAAAAAACAATTATCCATTCAGTTCAGCTTTGGCCAATAAGCCATTTGCGTGTTAAATTTGAATAAAATCTGGAACGCTGACTTAATACAATGCTTTGCACGTTTTAACCTAGCATTCTCCCGACCAAAGAGACTGTTACTATATCACGTGATTCGGGGCAAGCCTTGTGCTAGCAACCCCCAGCTCCGGCATGGTCTGGTGTCTTTGTGCCATTCTCACCCATTGTGAACGATGTATTGGTGCTGAGCGTCTCTTACGTAACTATGCAAGAGCTGGCCCCGAATCATGTGATTAGCAACAGTGTCTTTGGTCTGGAGAATTCACAGTTAAAATGTGCCAAGCATTCTGAGCAAGTCATTGTACCAGACGTTTTTCAAATGTAAATCCCAAAGGGTATAGGTTACACGCAAATGGCTTATTGTTTCTGTCACAATTTTTGTTCACCCCCTACTGTTAAAACAGTCACAGACATTAAAAAACTCCATCCATTTTCCCTGCTATGCCTTTTACACAGGCTAGTCACAAACAGTCAGATCATAGTTCAAGCAAGCACTCTGACTAGTCAAATGCAGTCAACAGACAAAAGCAGGAAACTGGTGGGCATAGCTGTCTTTTATCAGTTACCTGCACTCAAACACAGTTGAACCAAGTCAAATAAACAGTCACAGCCATTCAATCCTGCTTTGTGTAGGCTGGGAGCTCTTAACTGTTTGAAAATAGTCACTTGATTGATTTTGACTGAAAGGACAACTTGGCACAGAATCTATGTTTGCATAGGAGGGTTAAAGGGCTTTTACACACACATCTGGCTCGAAAATCACGCTAATGAAATTCAATACTGGATGAGATCATTTGGTATTGCTCGGTTTAGGAAAAAAGGGACAGAATACGATATTATTGAAATATAGTCCAAGCCTTAAATCACCAATTCATAATTATTGTGACTTTAAGTTTTATTTAATTATTTCATTTTAGGCTTGACGTTTTCCAGAAGTTGTGGTGCTCTTGTACTGAAGTTGTACACGCAGAGTCCTTTGTATTGGCTGCTGTACCGAGTGCCCATATACAGCACTCGGGAGTGGTAAGTTCAAATGGGTTACGTTGCCTTTAATCATTGCTTGACAACACCCTCCAAAACCCTTCAGTGATTACTGGGAGTATGCACAATGTTTACTGCACAACTCCAGTGAATGTCACAGGCAACTGATCAGCAGCCTCTAATGCAATCCATGTGCAGGATATTGGCAAAACCAATAAGACATAATGACGTCACGCTTGTTTGCATGTGCGCATTCCTATGGGAGCCAGGTGGGGACATTTCAACCTCGTTCCCATGGGTATGAGATCTTGCTGCGCCATGTTGTTTCCCATCATGCCTTACGCGATCTCAACCCCTGGAATTGTGTAATTTAAATGTGTCAAAATATGGCACATTATAATTAGGCTGCAGTTTATCTGTTTAACGTGCCGACGCCATCTTTAAAATGTTTAAAGTTGTGATTTTGAATAATCAATCATTTCAAACATACGGTTTGAGTGGCTTTAAATTGTGAAATGGGAGGAATATCATAGCTTGGTAAAATATGGACTTTTCCAAGTCCAGATTTTACCTTGTGATAATATTCCTCCCATTTCACTCTGAGCCACCCAATATTTGTATAATATGTGACTACTACTTTTTAAAGGGAATATACAACATTTGCAAACATCGAAAAATAAAATTACCAAGTTTTTGCGAAATACCTTAATAGGATGTTGGTAAATGACAGTCTAAAGCATCCTGTAAAATTATGGCACCTGGTATACTGTCATTTTCAAGAAAAGTGGTATTTTTGTATCAATTTCCAACGCTGATCGGCCGATCAGCGTTGGAAACAACTGGCTTTTTTTTCAAATACTGGCCCCAATTGACCATTGCACTTGTTTGCAATCGATTACAAACCTATGAACGGGTACGAGCCAGCTAGACTGGTTCCCTGACCTTACAATTCCCCAATGTATGTAAACTGCTCTGTTTCTTCTTATATGGAGTCAGGGAACCAGACTACAGGAAATGATCGTTTTTCTTGGTTTTTATAGCATTTTCGAACCCAAAACCTCCAAAAAGTCAGTGTAACTATATTTGCTTTATATTTCCAACCCCCCAATTCCATCCATTTCTGAAAATTACAGCAAAAGCAAATGATGTATATTCCCTTTAAAATGCCAGCTTTGTCTTCGTCTATGTTGTGAGTCTGTTTCAAGAGACGGGGTGTTTTTTAAAACCTGTGGAGAGCATGCATGCGTTGTCTCACTTTAACTCATCAAGCTTTCTGAGTTCTTTTTAGATATGTGCAATTATAGTCTTCTACTGTTATTTTTCTCCCCTCCAGGATTGAGTTTTATGAAGGAGAAAAACTCTACCGAGAAGACAAGTGGGAACTGCAAGGTAGTAGTACTTATGATTGCAGTCCTTTACATGTATATTTTTTACCAAAATATCTTATTCACTTCAATATCCTAATACCATCCCTCTTAACATTCTCCCAGCCAAACCCATTCCCTGGTCAGCATTCCATTCCTCCTCCCCCCCCCCCCCACACTCCCTTATATATATTTTAAAGTACATTTTCTAGTGTTTTATGTGCATCTATTTATATACCAGTCTGATTTTAGCTTTTAGGATCATTGGTCATTGTCGGTTTTGATGTAACTTTAATGTTTTTAACTATATTAAAATGACCATAATTCAGCCTTCGGTCTGCCATGTGTCTTTTAAATGAAATAAATAAACCATGAATAAGAATAATATCTTTAGCATCGAGGAATAACTAATAAATGACTTGGGAACACATATGTGGTGCGATCAAGCTAAATGAGCTGTTTGTCGGGAACTTTCATTTGGAGATACAGGCCAAAATAGGGCCACTTCATCACATCACTTCATCACATCTCTTGGTCTTCAGAGTTCCATAATTTTTTAACTAAAAGATGGTACCAGCGTGCGGTTATTACAGTAGTAATGCTGAGATTAGGCTCTTTTCAAATCTGTAAAAAAAAAAATTCACAGGGTCGACAAGCAACTCATTTAGCTTGATCGCATCACATTATATTGATATTTCAAATTGGCTCAATTGTTATCTGATGGTTTTTTGATTGTTAGAGCAATCAGGAATTTGGGCAAGATGCACAGAAAATAGTGTCAGTGTTAAAAAGAAAAGAATTGTGTGATTGCTTACAATGACTACTTGTGGGTGTCCAAAATTGAGGTCCAAAATTCTTTAGAATCAGTCTTTAATGATTATTCTCCAGGTAGGGTTGGATCATGGTAAAATGTCTAGCTCAAAGACACCCACATGATGACATCATTATGCTGTAAAAAAAAAAAAAAAAAAAAAAATGAAAATTTTCACGGTAGAGAGAGCCAGATGGTAATCATGGTAAAATGCTCTGCTCAAGGACACCCACATTGTTGTGTCGTAAAAAAAAAGCGCAGAATTCATTTTACGTTTCCAGCCATCATTGGACTTGATCTTTAAAGCTATAGTCCATCATTTGTAATTAGTGCATTTTGTTCGTTTGAAGCAACAAAAGTGTTCAAAATCTAATGAAGGATACTGAACAACTTACTTGATGAAGTTTCAGCTCAGCTTCAGCTTTATATTCCAAGAAAACCAGCATTCTAGGATCTCAATTTCAAATCAAAAGTTGCTAAATCATGTTTCGAATTGTTTTGAATTGCAGCTTTACGCGATGTCGCACACTGATCCGACGAATTATAGCAACCGCGCGTGCTTGTGCATCGTTCCAATGCTTGTGTGTGCTGCGCCGAATAACAAAACGAACTACCAATTTAAATTTTCGTACGGTGCTTCTTAAGATGCACCATTGGAAATGCCTTCTTTCGTTGATTTCTTCAAAATGAGAGCTTGCCAGAAAGGATAATTTCACAGGGAGTTTAGTCCCCTTACTATCTTTCAACCAGTATGTTTTTCAACAATAATTACGCCAGTTACTTTTTTGGATAGCTGCAAATGATGGACTCGGGCTTTAATGTTTTTGATACGTCACCAGAGAATATACCAGCCAGCATCGTAGGCATGCAGCGCAAGATGACCGTCAGGCAGCTCCTGAAACACGGTTACAACTGGCCCTCCCTCATCGACCTGTTCAAGTCCTGCGGGTCCCCCCAGCATTTCCGGCAGGAGCTACGAGACATGGACATGAAGACCGGCGCGGCAGGGCGTATCACGGCTACGATCGGGGCCATGAAACTTGAGCAGGACGGCTCCAGAGAGGTACAGCTCTTTTGTGTGTAAAATAAACTGACTGGAGTTGGATTAGGATCTATTGAAGACGTCGGTAACGCTGCACTGATGCTCAGTCATGGAGCTATCAAGCTGGCATGCCAGTGAACAAGCACTTCAACAATTTGGAAAATCACCAACATAGAGATAGGTAGCTCGGTTGCCAGAGTGCTAGTATGGTGATCCAGTGGTTGCAGGTTCAAATCCAGGTCTTGTCAATTTGTCGGCGAGATTTCCTCATTGATTTAAAATGAACTTTAGTTCCCCATCATTGAGAATTTTTACTTTGCTTCCAAATATTTTGTATGTGTGACATTTGGTTATTTTGTTAACGAGAAACAAAACCTCTGATCGAACTGGCTTTTTGTAACGGGACTTTCATTACTTGAACCCAGTATGAGAATCAACTCAATATGATTTTCAGTTTTATAAAAAAAATGTTGTTTCTTCCACAGTACAAAGTGCGCATCAAGTCGCACATGCCGTTTGCCAAGTACTACCACCTGACGGATGCTAGAGGGCGCCATTTCATTCTGCGCGTGGCCAACGTCTTGCCGCCGTGCTTCTTCTCATTGGCCGACCTGTGCGACAACCGATGGCAGGTCCCAGACAACCTGTTGCAGATCGGTCCACCTGAAACGTGGGACGCGATGCTTTCCCGTGATGCGAACAACGTGATTGGAAAGTCCTGTGATGAAAATGGCAACAAAACTCAAGGATTCGAGGAGGCTGATGTTTTTGGTTGGCGAAGTTGTGAGTCACAGCCGAGTGGTAAGTTGATCTGCATGTACATAGTTTAGTGGAGTCCCCTAACGTCGTGCACTTTGACATTTCCCCGACTTTCCTCATGCAGTGTTGCCAAACTTCTTGGTTGACAAACTTCAAATTCTATGTTAAATACTGGTACTTTTACCTGAATAATGCTTGCTGTTGAACTTTTGTGAACAATTTCAGTGTCATGAAATTTAGTAAAAAATTCCATAACGGTGGCGTCCGGAAATTGGGCGCAAAATTGGTTGGGTGTCCCCAAATGTGGCGCATTTGGAATAAATCCCAAGTTGCAATTTAAGAATTTCTGTTTAATCCACCAACCTGATGGGTTCTCGACCAATGGGAGTGGGTAAACTGTCTTTGGTACATGTGTATTTATGAATTATATAATACTTCATGCTCCAGGCGTCGGTGAAGGGAAAACCTGATGCAAATTCTATCCTTTACAGGGTGAACCCCCCCCCCCCCCCAAAAATGCAACTCTGGAACCTTGCCTTTTTTCACAAACGTGATCTGTGCATTGTTATGTTTTGGACATCAGATTAAAGCTGAGAGTTTTTTCTTTCAAATACTGCAAAAAATCATGAAAAAAAGCACATTGGGTTGTTGAGAAAATGCCAATTTTGTAACACAACTCCTTTTGGTCCATTCCAAATGGCATTACCACAGGATTTACACTGTACCCATTGTGTCCTAATCCTTACAAACAACACAGCACAAAATATGACAAGAGTACAAATTAATTTGATGGAAATACTCTTTAATTTTCCAGAACAGGTACCTTATCATTTTTCGTTTTATTTTAAACCTTTTCAGCATCATAAATATGTCAAAATGTAAAAGAAATTGCGCAAATGAAAGACAATGCAAAATGGGCTTACAAGTAACATGTGTCACTGTTTGAAGCACCATTGGAAAGGATGAAAAATCACTTCTTTTACATCATTGGCATTTTCTCAGCAACCCAAAACATGAAAAAAATCACATCACATTTTTGAAAAAGGGCAAATGTTTCAGGGTTGCATTTTTTGGGGGTAATCCTGTAAGTACTCCATGCTGAAATTCTGTGTGTTTGTTTTAAGCTGTTGCTGGCGTAAAGGACGTCCAATCAGAAGACAGCAGTGAACCTGAATGGGACAAGGCGGAAGACTGCGACTTGCAGCTCTGTGACAATGGCGACCTGCCCGACTGCTACTTCAAAGAGCCCGGGCCGGCCCACGTCCCAACCACGCTGGTCAAGGGAGCCGGGGGAATCAACCCCTTTATCTTCCCTGAACAGGAGTGGCTGGCTGTGGACAGCACAGACCACAAACCAGGTAAGACTGGGGAAAGGGGTGGGGGTGGGCAAAGTTACTTAGATTATACCCCTCCCTCTTCTGATACAGCTATGCTTTGACTCTGGGTGAGTGATAAAACAGCTGTGGCCACAACTTGCCTGCTTTGTCTGTTGACTCAGTTTGACTAGTAACAGTGCTTGCTTGACATTTGATCTGACTGCTGGTGACTAGCCTTTGTTAAAAGTATAGCAGGGGAAGTGGAAGTGAATTTTGACTGTCTGTGACAGTTTAAATAACAGGGTTAATCTCTAATTGCCTACCGTTTCTTTAATCTCTCATCCAGAATTTTTGTAACGGGTTAATACAGCAGAATACATTATAATTGTTTTCAAATAAACCACGCAGGAAAACTGACTAGGTGCATTATAATTATTTTAATGTTAAAAAAGAAATTGACTATAGCGGGGTTTGTGCCTGCGTCCTTCTGATTGCCGTTCCAGTGCTCTACCAACTGAGCTATCCAGCCCTATAGTGGAGGTTCCCCATAGATGTCTTTGTTAAAGGGGCACTAGTCAGTAAGCATCCTTACCTTGACAGAAGAATGTACCTAAAATAATGACACAAAAACAGAAATCGCAATGCACAAAAAGCGTTAGCTACACCTTGCAATACTTTTCTGCTTAATTAGTTTGGAATTTTTTTTTGCTAACCATGAAGCGTGGCAGTGAAATTGGTAGAACAGGTTTCGGGGTGTTCGCAGTGAAATTGGTAGAACAAGTTTCGGGGTGTTCAAGTATTGCAAAGAATCTATAGCCAATCAGGAAAAACCGTTGCTTCTTCCACTGGTGTGTGTAATATATGTCTATTAATATTGGGAGTCTCTTTACATTTAGATTTTCCAGAACCTGGTTCGCTTATGGATGAGGAATGTTCTGAAAAGAGTGTAGTATCAAGCAGCCATTCAAAAACCAGTAAATCCGCCCAAGCCAATCAGACCACGTCAGCAGATTTGCACTGCGGCACGTCCACCAATCGGGAGACATCAAGAGCTTGGAAAAGTCAGGGGACCAATCATCCGAACTGTGCAATGTCCAGACATTCTACTACAGCCAATCAGAACAGCTGTAAGCGAGCAGGGTCCAATTCCTGGTCCAATGAGAACGATTCATCAGTACCACGTCACTCTGCCTCAGCCAATCAGAGCAGCCTTTCCGGAAGGAAACCAGCAAAATTGTATTCAACCAACCAGAGCAATTGTACCTCTTGCCAGAAAAACTCATTCACTTCAAGGTATTCAACTTCCACCAATGACAGACGGTCTGCAGTAAGGTCACATGATTCTATTATGTCCAATCAGAGGGCCTCCATGGAACCACGTGCTTGTCCTGCCACCAATCACAGCTCACAAGATGGATCCCTCGGTTCATCATCAACCTCCCCCTCAAAACTTTCTGGTGATGAATTTACTGTGTATCACACACAGGGTGCAATTCCAAGAGAAAAGAGGCATGTTCCATTGAACTCTCAGTCAAAGAAGAAAAACAGCCAATCATCTCCAGCCAATCAGATGGCTGCAAAGCAAAAAATACATCAGTGCACTGCAGCCAATCACAGCTCGCCAAGTGAGAACCGTGGTCCATCATCAGCCTCCTTCTCAGAGTCATCTAATGATAAAGTGTTCTCCACCCGGCTTTCAAGAGACAGGACACACGTTCCACCAAGATTTCAATCCAAAAAGAAAAGCGGCGGAAAGAAAACAAGGCGTGAAAGTTAGTCACATTGTAAATTAATTGACAGAGGCTGGTGGAAGAACTGTCCAGCCAAATAGACAAGCCAAACACAAAATTACTTGTGTTGTACTTGGCAGAGTTTTGATGAAGCCCATAGAGCTATATTAAATTACCCGGTACTAGAGTGCTGACTTGATGTACAAAGTGATGCCTGCTGGGTGCATCCATGTTTGTGCACAAACCTATGGAAAACTAGAAATTTTGTATGGCTTTTGTACGGCTATATCTGCATTTGCATTCTATACAGGTGTGTTATCAAAGCTAATATGCCCACAACCGAAACGCACAATCAGTAAATGACCGCTTAAGTTTGCTCTGCGCAAACAATGCAAACGCGTGCGCGTATCCGCTGCAGATGAGATTTGCCATGACGTTTTTTAAACCGTGATAGCCCGCTGAAGTTGTTTACGTATGTTGTTCTTGCGCGTTGCATTTAGAGTACACTTTAACAATTAAATCCATCTAATTTCATTATGTTCTACAGACAGTCACATGAATTCAAAATGCCTGGGCACAGGAAGGCTTGAAATTATCTCCGCGCGTAAGAATGAGGAGTTAGCGCTCTATTAATTTTTATATAGCTCTATGATGAAGCCAGAAATAAACACCAAACTTCCACAAACTGATGAATATTTAATTTTTTTAAACATGCTTAAATTTTTTGGAGAGACGTTTGATATGTAAGTGAAGGATTTGTATTCAGTGTTTAGTGTATTTGTATTCAAAGTTGAATGTTATTATTTTTTTGTATGTATTATTATTAAAGAGATATTTTCCCTGTATTATTATTAAAGAGATATTTTCCCTTTTCGGATATTTATAAAAAAGTGGAGTATTCTGGAAATTCCAACCAAGTTGGTTATTGTTTTCCGTCCTGTAGTGCAAAATTATTAATAAAAGCAGGGTTGTAACTGATCTAGTCATCACAAAGCATGCCACATTTCCTGACCTTACATGAATGTGACAAGTCATGACTTGTGACAAGTCATGACGTGTTACATGCATAACATGTGACAAGTTGTCACAACATGTGACAAGTCACGAGTCATGACGTGATAAGTTACAAAATGTGACAAGCCGTGACATGTGAGCAGTCATGACAAGTCACAAGCCATGACAAGTCAAAAGTCGTGACAACTCGCAAGCTGTGACAAGTCACAAGCAATGACAAGTCACAAGTCAGAAGCCACGACAAGTCAAAAGCCATGGCAAGTCGCAAGCCCTGAGAAGTCGCAAGCTGTGACAACTGACAAGTTGCAAGCCATGATGTCAAAAGTCATGACAAGTCACAAGCCATGCTAGTCAAAAGCAATGACAAGTCACAAGCTATGACTAGTCACAAGCCATGACAAGTAACAAGCCATGACAAGTAACAAGCCATGACAATGACATTAAGTCAGTATAACAATTTAAGCACAAGTAAAATCAAACGTGAAGGTTCAAGTCAGAGTGGATGAACAATGGAAAACCGTGCCTTTGTCAAAGTTCACTTGCAAATAAATTGAAGCATTTTGAAAAATGTATCATTCTTACATCATGGTATAATTTTGTAGTTTCGTAAAAGTCATAATATAAGCACTCATGCTTAGCACAATAGGCTTTGATGCAGTCATTATTTGCAATTCATGATTTGTGATTTTAAATTTGTTTTGTGTTTTCCTATAATTTAAAGGTGCTTACGCTTTTGTCCTTGTTTTTTTTATAATATAAAGGTGCTGTTTTTTGTATAATATAAAGGTGCTTTCTTTTTTTTCATTTGGAACGTTTTCATTTTAACATTATTTTGTAGTGTTTTCATTTTAAAGGCAAACTTATATTCACTTATGACTAAGACGAGATGAGAATTTTATCATCATTCTTACATCATGGTATAGTTTTATAGTTTCGTAAAAGTCATAAGATAAGCACTAATTGTGCTTAGCACAATAGGCTTTGATACAGTCATTTGCAATTCATGATTTGTGATTTTAAATTTGTTTTGTGTTTTTTCTATAATAAAAAGGTGCTAACGCTTTTGTCCTTGTTTTTTCTATAATATACATGTAAAGGTGCTGTTTTTTGTATAACATAAAGATGTTTTTTTTCATTTGGAATGTTTTCATTTTAACATTAATATTTTGTATGTGTTTTCATTTTAAAGGCAAACTTATATTCACTTATGACTAAGACGAGATGAGAATTTTACAGTTTTATAACGCACGTACATGTCCATTGTTTGAAATGTAGTAGGACGCGAGATCTAAATTAAAAGGAGAGAAAAAGAAATATGATTTGGCCATTTTTTGTTTGTTGAAAGATCATTCCCTATGCTATTTTCAAGTTTCATCTCGAAATAAAGATTTTTCTCAACTGCTCTTTTTTCTAGCAATATAAAAGCTCTTCACATTTGAATGAGACATTGAACACAACAAATCACCAATGAATGATAATATTAAATTATTACTTCCCTAAATTGGAAGTATTGGCTGCTAGATCGGCTCTTGCGAAGCGGGTTATTTGTACACAAAGTGAAAGCCCATTTCTTTTTCAGAGGGCTGCAGACGCCCCAAAAGAGGAATAAAGCCACTTTTCTTTAAAACAAAACCTGCAAATTGAAAAAAAAGTCTATCCTTTTTTTCTTTCTTTTTTTTACCGAAAAAATGATAAATGTTAAACAGTGACATCATTTTGGCCTCTTTGTCTGTTGCATCATTCTAGCCCATACAATTAAGCCGGTATGTCATTTAGGCAAATGACGGCCATTTAAAAAAAAAAGGAAGAAAAAACTGGCGGCCAACTTGAAAAACAGCCCGGACGGGCGGCCATTTTGGAGGGGGAAAAAAAAGGCCTCCCGCTTCTTTTTTTTCTCAAAAAGGCAGGACGCTAAACATGTTATTTTTTTATTTGGCCTAATCATAAACCGCTTGAATGTTCCCCCTGCCATGCAATTAATTGTCTCACTAGAAAATTCAAGATTAATATTTTAGGTAATTACTTCCACCCTCTACTCGAGCGAAAAGAAAATCCTAAAAGTTGTGTCTGCGATTAAGAAAGATTATAATATGGGGGTGTAAAACAATTAATCAAGGATCGGCTGCATGGACACTTGGTCAGCTCCTGATCGCTAGTCAAGAATCACCAATTACCTCATTTTGACAAAATATTTCAAAAAAACCCAAAAAAAACCGCCGCCGACGTTCGCGTGAACCATCCAACTTTCCTAATCCGCCCCTACTATAACTACAGGAGTCGTGTTGCGTAATACGTTACATAATAAAACATACACTTTGACCGACCACTAACCTTTGACTCGGAATGAAATAAACAGAAAAAAAGAATGGGCGTTTAACCGAGCCTAAAGTTCTAGTACTTAGGGATGCAAAAATGTATCATTTCCTGTCTTTTATACTTTTTTTGGCTTTTACTTTTTTTGTTACTTTATTTTGTTGGACATCTTCTCGAAAAGTGTATACATTTTTTCCATACATGTACGTCCTGTGACATGTAGAGCCCCCTTCATTGTAAATGGTTTCTTCCAAAAAGGTCGCCCACGTGGAGAAAAGTAGGCACGTGATAAAAATACATAACAGGGATCGATTGAGCGCCCTCAAGCTATGCAAATGGCGCGGCGCCGCGGCGCGTGATATGTGTACAGTACAGCCGGCGTTCGACATGAATTTCATCTAGGCTTAAATAAGTGTAGGTGTAACTTGTAAGCTACATTTTTACTAGATTTATGTACGGATCGGTGGAAGGTGGTTTGGATTCCCCTACGATGGATTCTAAGGAGAAGGAGTCATCGGCCATGAATGGAAGAAATGAACCCGAAACGGATCCAGCAACAAGTGTGAAAAAGGTAGGAACTTAAGAATGAGGTTGAACTTAAAACTTGTTTCCCATTGTCAGATTGTGGCCATACACTGTGCACAAACCCTAGGACTGATCAGAAAATTTCGAAGTGTTTTGTCAGTAACCACTTTAATATTTCCCCTGCTAAATTTGACTTTTTTTTAGGACAATTATCATGGCTGATAAGTCACTGAAGTGACGGGACAAATAAGTGATGGCCAGATATGGGAATCTTTCCTGAAAATCAATGATATTGATAAACTCAACTTCCTCAAGAGAAGAAAAAATATAGCCGATTAAAATGAGCAGCGACGACGTGGATTCGAACCAGGGAGACTTTGTATCCATATCATCATGATCATGGATAAAGCTCATCTCGCTATCCAATACTGTGTGGTAGCTTGACAACATGCAACCCGTTGTTAAAATGCTTTAATCACGTCAATGACCTGACAATGCCTGATGACAATGTAACTGGTTGACTAAAATAACAGCAGTCATGGCAATAAACAATGCTCTTTTTCATTGATGTCATTGTTCTGTTTTCAAGAGTAATATAAACACAATCATGACAATAGCTTCAATTGTTGACGTACTGATAAATTATCATAAGTGGTACCACTGTAGCTTGAGTAACTCCAGCTCTGTAACTTGAGTAACTCCAGCTTCGCTTTAATGCTGGGAAATGTAAATCCATGCACATTGGAACGGGAAACCCACTGGCTGATTATCATATGGGGGAGACGGCACTTGAATCAACAGAGGAGGAAGATGACTTGGGAGTTTACCTAACACCAGACTTCAAACGAAGTACACAATGCAGCAAAGCGGCAGTGAAGGGAATGAATTGTCTTAGGGTGGTGAAGCGATCATTCAAGTACATCGATACGGATAGCTTCCTGATTCTATACAAAACATACATCAGACTGCATCAGGAATACTGTGTCCAATCATGGTGCCCATGGCTGGAAAAAGATAAACATATCTTGGAAAAAGTTCAAAGGAGGGCCACCAAGTTGGTCCCCGCAGCTCTAAGGGAGCTTTCATATGAAGATAGACTGCAAGCTCTAGACCTGTATTCCCTTGAGAAAAGAAGAGAAAGAGTGGACCTACATGTAAGCTTTAATATAGAGACTTTCAAGATATTGAAAGGCCTTGAAAAAGAAGACAGCAGCAGATTCTTCCAAACAGCTGACAAAAAGTGACAGAACCAGGACAAGAGGTCACTCTCTTAAACTCTTCAAGTCATCCCTGAAGAAAAACATTGGATGTAGGAAGAACTTCTTCACCCAAAGAGTGATAAACACTTGGAATTCCCTTCCACAAGCAGTAGGCCTATTGAATGCCAAAACTGTAGCAACATTCAAGAAAAGGTTGGATTCTCACTGGAAGGAGGAAAAGATAGGATATGGGGTCACAAAGGCTATGCTTAATTGATTTACCCATTAAACCGTAAGTGTAAGTGTAATGTATTTAAGCATTAGAGCTGAAAGCTAGTACAACTGGAGTACATGATACTGGCCCTACCGTAGCTTCATATTGATGTGGAATTAAATGATCAAGAACATATGCAATTAAAGGGAATGTACCATTGGCTTTTGCAGTAATTTTTCAGAAATGAACTATTATAGGGGTTAGAATAATAGATCAAATATTGTTACACTGACATGTTTTGAAGTTTTGTGTTCGAAAATGCTGGAAAAACCAAGAAAAACAAAAATGTTCAAGTAGTCTGGTTCCCTGACTCCACTAAAGATAAAATGGATCTATTTATAGATGCCAGAAAATTGTAAGGCAAGGGAACCAGTCTAGCTGACCTGCACCAGTTCATGAACATGTAACCAATAGCAAACAAAATTTGGATTGAAAAAATGGTAAATTTTGAGCAGTAGTTGCTAAATAGTTAGGTTTTTCCAACAGTGGTCGGCCGACCACCGTTGGAAATGTATACAAAAATACCATTTTCTTGAAAATGACTTCACACCAGGTGCCATAATTTTACAGAATGCTTTAGACTGTCATTTACCAACATCCTAGTAAGGTATTTCGTAAAAACTTGGTAGTTTTATTTTTTGATGTTTGCAAATGTTGTATATCCCTTTAAGGGCCTACACATGTACATGTAACAAGGTAAAAAAGAATAACGTGTGTTTACTATGTAAATCCTCTCCAAAAAAACTACATGTACACACAGGATAATGCTCATCTGAGCGTGTGTGCTAAATCTCGGAACGAACTGTCTTCATGCCGTGTCCGCGCAAATAACAACGCTTAGCACATGATTGCCGACAGCTGGTGTCCTGACAGCCAAAGTCCTGACAGAAATTTTACCAACTGATGGGGTCCGAATTGGTTTGGGTCTGAGTTGGTTTGGGTCTGAGGGACCTGAATCCTGAAAAAACTACATTCCTTCCCATTACATGCTTCCTCCATCCCTAACCCCCTAGGCCCTTGTTGCTTACAACCATCCTCAATCCTCCAAAATCCTCCAAAATTTTGCAACTCCGCCTAAATTTTTCAAAATTGTCAGACAGTCCTGCCTCAAAATGCATTCATCCTCAATCCTCCAAAATCCTCCTCATCCCAAAATTTTGCACTCGTGTTTAAATGAAGGATAACCAACGCCAAATCCTTCAAAATCATCAGACAGTCCTGCCTCAAAATGCATTCATCCTCAATCCTCCAAAATCCTCTTGTGCTTCAATCACCATTCATCCGCAATCCTCCAAAATCCTCATGTGCTTCAATTACCATTCATCCTCAATCCTCCAGAATCCTCATTTGATTCAATCACCATTCATCCTCAATCCTCTAGAATCCTCCAAAACTGTCAGGAGGATTTTGGAGGAGTGAGGTGGGTTAGGGTTATAAGACCATGACTCATCAAATTGGGGGGGGGGGGACGGATGGGGGAGGAGCTGATTTGGACAACACTTGTCCAGTTAATTTCTTACATGTTTGACATATGTTTTAGTAATGTTGGCTGTGTATTAACGTACCGGTACATGTATGCATGTAGGACTAGCTTGAGAAACCCCATCTCCAATGCTCATCAGGAATTTGACTTTTAGAGCTGGAGGTCAATGTACTTTGAATCCAGCATGTCAAAAATGACAGTATAGGCCTTTTTAACAAGTCGTCCATTTTGTATTGAAAGTTAGGTAAAATCTTAATTTTTGGAACTTGCTTCTAAAATGAAAGCAAGTTAATGTATAGGCCTAATAAATTCTAGTCTGCTTCAGTGAATAATTTAACACTTGTAATTAAACATTCCCTAATGTTAAAAGCCATAGGCCTATTTAAAAATAAAATGACAGTAACATACCGGTAAGGCTGCATTGTGCCTGCATAAAAAGTCTGGCGCCATTCCTGTAATTTAACAGTTAACACTTAATGGAATACATTCAGCGAACTCGACAAAAATGCCCAACTCGTGAATAAGGCCCATGCAGTCGAGTTTGGACTACACAAAACTGGTCCTTTTCCCTAGTATTATCCAAGCCCAGATGAGATTAAACATGAGACTGCAAGAGTCCAATGCAGCAGTCATTCACATTTCACAAAGCCAATGATCGACTTGAAACAGAACAACCACGATCTTTATGGAAAATATTGATGATTTCACTGGCTTCTTGAAGAAGAACGTCCGGTCATGCTGTCACGGCTATATTTTGACGATTGCTTGTACCTGTAGGCGTATGTGTTCTACAAAACCCCCAACATGCCCAAGGACGGACACACAAAGGGAGAAGAAAGGATCCTTTCAGTCCTTGGGCATTGGGTCTTTTGTACAAAACGGTCCTCTGTAGTAGGTTTGTGTGCTTAGTCTATGGAAGAGTGTTATATTTAAGGGAATAAGGGAAACACAAAGCATTGTCCTCGGGAGTATAGTAATTCAAGAGTGTATGTGTGCGGGTGTGCGTGCATGTGTCAGTCAGGGTGACCAGACAAATCATGCCAGATGAATCCAAAAATTGTGAATCGAAAACTCTGCTACAATTTGTAGGTCATGATGCACTCGAGTCTTGGTTTAGTCCTAATTGTTGCATTTAGTGATGAAAATTTTGTCTAAAAAATTTGTTTTTTTGTTTTGCCTTCAGAGGCCGTTGACTGTGCCGCTAGTCTTTGCTACAGCCTCGGCTGTGATTGGTTCCTCTCTCCAGTTTGGTTACAACACTGGTGTCATCAACAACCCCAAACTGGTATGTACCGTACATAGTGTCTGTCTAATGAAGGGCGGGAAAGACTTTCTTGCCAGTTCACAGTTCACGTTCACATTTTGTGTCACATCTCGGTACCAAACACTGGCTAGTCTAGTCACAGACTGCCACGTTAGAATGTACCCAAGCTCTGCGTGATATCATTCGTGCATTTTTTTTTTCATTTGAAACAACTTTAATTGCTCAAAAGATGGGTGCTTTAAACAACTAACCTGAAAAAGTTTAGCTCTGCTCTGTGAATGCTGTATACATGTTTACTCCGAGAAAAGAATATTCTGGGATCTCAGTTTTAATTCAAAAGTTGCTGAGTCATGTTTTGTATCGTGTACTAGTCTTTTGTATGTTAGCCGAGACCAGCTCTTTCGAGAATGAGACCAGACTTCCGAGACCGAGACTTTTGAAGATCGAGACCAAGACCGAGACCAAGACTACCGAGACCGAGACCAAGCATAAAAAAAACCCCAAAAAACCTCACATTTCCAAATATAGTATCAATTGGCAGGTTGAAATTTTTTTAAAAATATTTTGGTTTAGTCTCCTACCGGTACCCTGTTGATATATTTTTAATGTAAACTTACAAACTATGTTGCCCCAAAATACATTGTCTAAAATGTTGTCAGTCAGGCGGATTCCGATTTCAAAATTAGGCCCTTTAAACTACTGCCTAAATTGCAGCTAACAAAGTTTGGTGAAGTCGGGGTACAACTTGCTGCAAACAAAGGTCAAACTTTACTTGCAGAAGGCTTATTGTTGATGGTCCTCTGTAGTAAGTTTGTGTGCTTATGGGAGAGTATTACAAGGACAAAGGGAAACAAAGCATTGTCCTCGAGATAAAACGAGTTCGTATTTGTATACACCGGTACCGGTACATGTACAGATGTTCACGTGCAAAGTATTGATGAGCAATTAAAGTATGATTTATGCACAATATTGATGAAACAGCAACTTTTACAGGCAAACATTGCCCAGTGACTTTGCAGTTTTGGGTTGGTGCAATATGACATACCACACATAACGGTACCTGTATCATTGACAATGACAGGAAATACTGTCAAACACTTCATTGTAATACGGTAGATAAGCCTGTTGTAAGGTTATCATCAAACAAACTTGTTACGTACATGTAACCAAAAGGTTGCACAACAGACCATGTGACTTTGTTGTGATGTAAGGTTATCATCAAACAAACTTGTTACGTAACCAAAAGGTTGCACAACAGACCATGTGACTTTGTTGTGATGTAAGCTTAAATACACCCATGTTGTGCAAATGTGCAGGGATAACATATTTGTTTAATAGGGCTACCCTGGAGGGTTGCTTTCCCTCTCGTTGGAAAGCTGCTAATATTGTTCCGATCCATAAATCTGGCAAAAAACACAATGTTGCTAACTACAGACCAATTTCCTTGCTCCCTCAGGTATCCAAGGTTTTTGAAAAGATCTTAAGTGAGCATATCATGTGTCACGTTCAACCAGCCATCTCCGAGCAGCAGCATGGTTTCATCTCTGGCAGAGATTGCTCCACCAATCTAACATCATTATTGCAGGAGGCTTACCATGCTGTTGAACGGAGGGAGCAGTTGGATGTTATCTACATTGATTTCTCTAAGGCCTTTGATCGTGTCAACCATGATTTTCTCTTGTATAAACTCTCATCCTACAATGTTCATCCAGGTATTCTTCTATTGCTACGTAGCTACCTTTCTGGAAGAAAACATAGAGTTATTGTTGACGGGCATTGTTCTAAGTGGAATACCGTGCCCTCTGGTGTTCCCCAAGGCTCTATTTTAGGGCCTATTCTATTCACATTATTCGTTAATGATATCACTCAGCGCTTAAGCAATAAGTGTTTACTTTTTGCTGATGACTTGAAGGTTTTCCGCAGGATTGGTTGTCCTGAGGATGCCTTCTCATTACAGGGTGACTTAGACAGAATCATGTCTTGGTCTTCAACTTGGAAGCTATCCCTCAACATCAATAAATGTTGTGTTTTATCCCTGTCACTTAAAAAGAAACCCATCATTGTCACTTACACTCTAGGGGATAACATGCTTAAAGGGAAAATACAACATTTGCAAACATCAAAAAATAAAACTACCAAATCATTTTGAAATACCTTGCTGGACTGTTAGTGAATGACAGTGAAAAGCATCCTGTAAAATCATGGCACCTGGTACACTGTCATTTTCAAGAAAAGTGGTATTTTCGTATCAATTTCCAACGCTGATCGGCCGATCAGCGTTGGAAAAAACTGGCTTTTTTTTCAAATACTGGCCCCAGTTGACCATCGCACTTGTTTGCAATCGATTACACACCTATGAACGGGTACAAGCCAGCTAGACTGGTTCCCTGACCTTACAATTCCCCAATGTATGTAAACTGCTCTGTTTCTTCTTAAATGGAGTCAGCGAACCAGACTACAGGAAAATGATTGTTTTTCTTGGTTTTTATAGCATTTTTGAACCCAAAACCTCAAAAAAGTCAGTGTAACTATATTTGCTATATATTTCCAACACCCCAATTCCATCCATTTCTGAAAATGACAGCAAAAGCAAATGATGTATATTCCCTTTAATAGAGTCCCTGTGCAGAAGGATCTTGGAATTGTTATCGACAACAGGCTGACCTTTGTTCCCCACATTGATTCAGTTATTAAAAAGGCTAATCGCATGTGTGGTTTAGTTTGGCGTAACTTCCGCTCACTGAAGAATGAGCATGTTTTGCGTACCATGTATTGTTCACTTATCAGGCCCCATCTTGAGTATTGTACTGTAGTGTTTAACTCCATATCTGCTTATCAGGCTCACAGGATTGAAAGAGTCCAACAACGCTTTCTTAAGTTCATGTACAAGAATCTCAACAATAACAATGATGTTAATAACCTGGATTATCCTGATTTATGCGACCTGTATAGACTCCCTACCCTGAAGCACAGAAGAGATGTCAATGATTGTATGTTTCTATATAAACATTTCCATAACTGTTATAATATTACAGATGCCAACCCATACAAGTTACATGCTCCAGCACGATGGACAAGGAATGCACACGAACACATCTTCCATGTCCCATGGAGTCGCGTTGAAGTGACAAAGCGTGGATTTGTTTCTAGGATCTCTACCACCTACAATGGGCTCCATGGGAAATGCGATGTGTTCGGTACACCGTCTCTTCATTCTTTCCGTAGACAGGTGTCCCGTGCTCTTTCAAATACAAATGGTTAATGTATGAATGTTTTACTTTTTAATGCATTGTTGCTTTCATTTTTAACTCACTTTAATGAATTGTCATCGATTACTTCAAATATATGTATTACCATCCGTTTTTTGCAACTCCTGGGCAATTCCACGGTAACGGAAGGACGTTTTCACTCATTAAACAAAATTTCAAATGTGTGTATCACAGACACTGTTTATAGTTACAGCAAACAAATGTCACAATTGTATTGCTATAATGCTACTGTCATTTTCCACACTTTTGGGGGGCATGAATGCCTCCCGTTTATGAATTATGAATATTAATGAGGTCGGTAACGGAAGGACGGTAAAACGGACAAGGGTTTTCCAACTTACTCACGTTTTGCGTAAACTCTGTGAATTTTATGGGGCAATTATATTTTAAAGGTAGGAAATGGAATCCCTGAAGCTTTATCTATACTATACCGCCTTTCATTTGACTTTAAGTGTTTCGGTAATATAATTACAACATTTTAAGCAGATTATAATTTGGTAACGGAAGGACGGTAACGGAAGGACAAAAGGTTTACTCAATTATAGCATGAACAAAATGTGAATTTACAAGTGAAACAAATTGCTGAAATGAGTAACTGAATGTGAAATCAACAATATGCAGACCTGGCATAAATAATTATACCCAAGAAACTATTGAGATAAAGATAGAAGCCTGCTAATTAATGATAACAAAAGAAAGACGAGAACCACCCAAAACACATAATTCACCAACACAAGACAACTACAGAAATGGACTTCAAACCCATCACCTCAATCCTTAAAAGTTTAAATACACAGGTTTTGAGCACTTGAGTATATTGGTTACATGTTCACCAACAACATTTAATAATAATACCGGTAGGTTCAGTAGTTTACCTAAAGGGTGGGGGGGGGGGGGGGCGACCAGCCTACATGTACATTTAAGGTAAAAACATCTACCGGTAGAACTGATGGCTTCAGTTAGGTGTTGCTTTTAATTGAACTCTAAAATCAATGTTTGAAATCAAATTAAAATGATTTAGAGTAGTAACAAATAATTTATAAACATCATCAAAACTGAAAATGTTAACTTGGGCATAATTTGTCAAAGATTGCACCTCACATGTCTTACACATGTAAATTGAATGAAAGTGCCCCAAAGTACCGGTACTTTCTGCCATCTCATTTTTGACTTAATTTGCTTCTGGAATGGCTTCACAGAATTCGTATCTTTCTCTATTGTCCATGAATGCTGATGGCAGCAACTATATGATTTGATTTTCTGCAACAACTCCATACATGTACAAGTACTGGTACATCGGCATATAGGCCTATGTACATGTACATTGTACATGTTGTACATGTATGCCTGTGCCTTCCTTTGTAATAAACACCTTGCCCTGCTTATCCCGCTTTTGTGAAGGTGGGTCACATGAATGTCCTTTCAATGCTCATTGTACATGCATGTATTTGCAGTGATTTTCATTTTTCAAACATGAGCGCAAATGTCGTAACATTTGATAAAAATACGATTTGTCCTTCCGTTACCGTCCTTCCGTTACCAATTTGGTAACGGAAGGATGTGATTTAATTAATTGTAATTAAAAAACGAAAAGTACAGCAGTGTCAGTTACAATGTCATATTGAAGGCCTACCTAAACTTGCTTTGCACAATAACTTTCAATGCATTCATACTGCAAGTTTAAAAAATAAATTAAAAATATGTATTTTTTCGGTAACGGAAGGACATTTTGGAAGGCTGAAATATTAGAAG